CTCATTTAATTTTATGTATTATAGGGTTTATACAGAGTGCAATATTGTGTAACTGTATTAATTCAACTGTAAACCTAAAAATTTCCAGCCAATTTTGAAAGAGATGCATCTTAGCTCTGGAGATTGTTATTGAACATGACAATGCTGTTGTAATGAAATGCCTCTTCTGATTATATGGTTATTAAATAAATAATTTTTGAAAAAATTCACAAACAGAAACAAAACAATAATAATAGTATCCTGGGGGAACTGCAAAGATGCCTGTGATATATCATGATGTGGGTAGAAACAACTTCTGCTAATAGAAATATATGGCTTTCCTCCAGTTTGATTAAAAATTATAATTTATTAATAGACAGAGGCCCAGAAGGACTTGTAAAGCTATAAAGGAGGTGCCTCTAGAAGGGGGACCAAATGAGAGAGGTGTAGGAAGAAGTAGGTGACCCACCCTTTTTGTTTATATCCTAAGCTACCAGAGTATCGTAGAACGGGCATGCACACTTGGCAACTGGAAAGAGAAATTTAAAAATATATTCGCACTTCCTTTAATCAATATACTCGTGTCAATGGCTAACATTTAAATAACATATTCTAATCTCCTGTTTAACTGCTCACTGGGCCTCAGTTACCCTGGGTGATACTTAACTGTGGTCAACATGAAAGTAATTCCCATTTCTCCATCATTGTTCCGTCTACAAAAAGAAGGAAAAGCTTCCTAAAAGAAGGAAAAGCTTCCTAAAAGGACAGAGGGAGAGCTCTTGGGCCTTCTCCATCCAGTGATGGTGCCAAAGGAATTCAGCAACTCCCTTTTATCAACAACTTGCTACAGTGAATCCCTCCTTCTTAGTAAAGCTGATATGTGTGCAGTTGCTTGCCACCCAGAATAAGTGGGTGAGGCCAGCCCCTTCCCTCCCTCAGGATGCCAAGCAGCAGTTGGTATTGGAAGAAATCACATAGGTGGGGTCCAAGACCTCAAGAGAAGTCCAGAGCCAGTGGTCTGCCCTCAGACCTGTCATTACACTCTGCATCCATGTACTTTCATGAGGACAGAGTGTGGGTAAATATGTAGTCACTTCCTGTCTGCTGGCCACAGGCTTGCACTTTATTCATACAGTACCCCTAGTTTTCTATACATTTTATAATAACATGCAACAGAGTGAAAACCAGATGTTCAGAATAGCTGCATCCAGAATTGTTTTTAGGGAGGAGGCTGCCCTTTAAGGAATATCTGAATGAACGAGCTTGAACAGGTACACTGCAGTTTTGGACAGAATTTGTTGTTTGTGCTTCTCAAAGCTTCCCTAAGTGGGAAGGGCTGCCGAAAGGGAGAGTGGCTGGGAGGAGCTGGGACAGCTGGTGACATCAAATGGGCCTGGGGAAGCAAAGTCATCTTCACAGAGAAGCCTCAGCTCTAATGGAGCTGTTTGTTACTTGGAAGTAGTCCTCCCTTCCACCCCCTTTATAGTATCAGGAAACCTAGCACACTTGTCAATATGCCCACAAGTGTGGTTTCCAAGAACATTCCAATGAAGGGCTGAGTCAGAATGGATCAGAACCTACACACGAGGGAACATGAGTGCAGGGGGTGAGGCTGTGCCTGAGAACAAGGCCCTGGGAGACTGTAGAAAGGGGGACGGTCCCAACACAGGCCTGGACTGGGTGGTGAGTGACAATTCTGACCAGGTCTTAAGGACCAGGGCGTCACCAACTGACCTCACTGTAACAACCAACTCTTCTCTTACAGCTCTTCTCCCTTGGGAAGTGCTTCATTCCCCCAGCCCACTTGTGCACACGTGCAGGTGAGCTAGCTAGCAAACGTGTAGACTGGAGAATGAACCTCTCAAGTGGGAAGGAAGTAGAGGTAGGAGTTAGGGGGAGGGAACAGAGATGGAACAAAGGATACAGAAAGCAGAATTAATGGAAAAAGGAATGCTCTGGCCTAGAAAATTCAGTTTGTCTCCTTTCAGCATGCTGGCTGGAGACAGGAGGACACGGTCTTGAATGAGGCTGATGATAGACTTGACATTACATCCCTTGTTCCCTCCTCTACCTGCCAGGTGCCGATGCTATCTGGCTACCCAGTTACCCTCACCCGGCAAAGGATCTACTCACGCCTGCCTCCTTCCGACAGATCAACACTCCCATTTTCTCAACAGACTAGAAGGTGCATGAGACCAAGTACAGTGCTGGTGTTGGCTCACCTTGGTATCCCCAAACCTCTGATAACTGGCCTTGATACACAGTAGCATTTTGAAAAATATTTGTCAAATGAATACATGGACCTTTAAAACTGTTAAGAAATCAAAGTGACTAAGCTTTGTCAGTTAGGAATTCCCATGTGTATGTCATCCCTTAGCTCTCCCTTATTATACATGCTAACCCAAAAGACCAGCTCCAGAAAAGAAATCCAGGAAGTTGTGGGGAAGACGGAGTTTGGTAGGTCCCATCCTACTGCATTGATTTGCTTGTCAGCCACAAACACCTTGTTCCCCACCCACCCCATCTCAGTCCTCTCTGCTGAAAGGAGAGCACCTTCTAGCTCTTCTTCCTGCTCTCAGCAGCTCCAGGTTTGTGCCTTGAGGCTTCACCTACAATTGAAAAAAACCCCTAAGGGCACATTGCAGAAGTTCCCGCCTACCTCTTGGAAAGGGCAAGTCTAGCCATGACAAGAGTAATATGTATAATTCTAGCACAGATGGTTTCCCATGGACTTTTTGTTGTCAAGGTTACATGGGCTATTGAGTAATCTCACTCTTCTAACGCGCAGGCTTGGGGAGGCTGTGAAGGTGCGGCCACCGGCTCCATCTACTACTTAGCAGCATCTTTTCAAACTACCCTCCAGTCAAGAGGACACCCAAGCTGTGCAGGCTCCCTGGTTTAGGTTAAGGTCTGGCACTCACAGAATTGGAGCACTAAGAATTCAAGACTCTGGAAGGCATCCAGCTGAAAGAAGGTATCTCCTCAGCTTGGACCAAATGCCTGGGCACTCTTAACCTAGCCAGTCTGACCATCAATGCCCTGAGGAGTTTAGATTTTGTTCTAATGTTTTTACTGTGCATGTTCCCTGTTTAATTCTTAGGCTGACAGCTCTTGATTTGTCACCCAAGGGCCCCTTGTCTGGGCTAACATGCTACAGTAAGCTTTCTGGAAACTGGATGGTCTGGGAGCCCGTCTTCCTCTAAAAGTAGAGCTCACCTCAGTTCCCCTTTCTGCTTCTCCATTTCCTCAAATGAAATGTGATAACTTTGGACTGATGGTTTCAACTCTAACACTTGCCCACTCTGCAACAATTAGGGAGCTCTTAGAGGAAGAGAGTTGGAGGTAGTAGTGATTTAGATCTTCCAGAGACGCCTGCTTCCTGGGTTCTTTCTAGACATGAACAGGTGGTAGGATGGGCCTACCTCAGTTCACACAATGTCCCAAACTCCCATTTTCCCAACCTAGGGAGTGTCTCAACATATGAATCATATTTAGATTTGGACAATGGGGGATGAGACATTAGAAAAGAGCTAATTATACTGGTCCCAATGCCTTGAATACATATAATCATCTCTATTGTTCTCATGATTGGAACAGAAAAACAGAAATATGAACAGAAAAAGTCCTGTGAAATTGCTAATCATAAGTGGTTCCATGCTGGCATAATTTCAGGAAGAATTCTCACCCTAAGGTAAATGCATCAGAATACTTTCTTTTTAGATAGGGTCTTACTATGTAGCCTCAGCTGGCCTGGGAGCTCGCTATGTAGACCAGGTTAGCCTCAGTCTCATAGAGATCTACCTGCATATGCTTCCTGAGTGTTGGAATTAAAAGTATGTGCTACCATGCCCAGCATATCAGAATACTTTTCAGGTGCATTTGACTTCTTCAGGTGAATCTGTTTCTCTTGATAAATAATGTGTCCCTGTCAATGTAGCTGAGAAAACCAACCCAGTAAACTGGTCTTGATACATGGGTTATATTTCATAGGATCCCTTGTACAGGGGACCCAGTTTGCGTCCTTCATGGACTCAACTCCTCCTTATTTCTGATCAGTACCAAGACATGTAGTATATTTCAGAAAATACCTAGACAGGAAACATGGCACCAAGAGGTTGAATGCCAAGAAACACAACCAGAAATCACAGGTCCTTTATTTCCTAGTGTATTCATCCTTCCTGGGGCCATCTGTTTAAATTTTCAACCAATCCCACTCTCCACTTGCTCACAGGCTGATTACCAGTTCCAATTTACCTTCAGATCATCAGGGATGAAGACTTTGCGAGCTTTCTTAATCATGGGCTGTGGCTTCAGTTCCTCCTCGGAGAACTTGCGTTTGCGAGGGTCAAACATTTCCTGCCCTGGGATGCTGGAGAGGGCAAGGTCTGCCGGGTCTGGTTCATACCCAACTGGGACCTGGATGGTGTCAGGATCAATGGGACTCGGTGTATTGCGATTTGCTGGCAAGAGTTGGCCTAGAACAACACAGGAGTTTTAATTCAGGTCCACTCTAGGCAGAATCAGGATAGACTCAGTGATTTTCTAGGAAGAGTGACAAGAGTCCTTAACCGATTTCTATCTGACCCTGCAATCATTTGTTCTTATTCATCTTCAATGTGTTTCTGAGGACACAGCAGGTGTCACGTAGAACAAAACAAAGACACTTGGAAGAAGTTAAAAAATACACATTCCCCAGGGCAGGTGGCACATACCTTTAATCCCAGCACTGAGGACGCAGAGGCAGGAAAATCTCTGTATGATCAAGGCCAGCCTGGTCTACAAAGTGAGATCCAGGCCACCTGGGGCTACATGGAGACCCTGTCTCAACAAGATCAAAAAAATAAATAAAATTAATTAATTAATTAATTAATTAAAATAAATACACATTCCTATTTTCCTATCACACACAATGGAGTACCAACTATGTCCTAGACATGCTGCATGTGTGATGGATATAATTACAGGATTTTTGCTTTTCAGGTGTTTCACAGGTGAGTCACAGAGAAAGACTACCATTAGACAGTTAAATGGAGTGCAGCTGTAGAGATCAATGGCCTATGTTTCCAGGGTGTAGGAACCATATAGAGGTTAAGGAGCATCCTAGTCATGACACTTCATATAGCTGCATCTTAGAGTAATTAGCAAAAAGGTACTCCAGGCACAGAGCTAAGACGGAGGCTTGCAGTTGTTTGGTGTACGTATGTAATGTACTGCTTGTGTGTTGTGCTGTGTAGTGTATGCACTTGTTGGTGCCGATGTGTGTGCACATGTGCATATGGGTGCACATGCATGCACGTGGAGCGAGAGGTAGATGCTGAGTGTCTTCTCTCAATCACTTTCCACTTTTATTTTTGGAGACAATGTCACTTACTGAACCTGAAGTTCAGTTTGGCTGACCAGGGAGCTTCAGGGACCCACCTGTGTCTGCCCCTCTCTCCCTCTAGTGCTGGGGGTATAGGCACATGCCACTGTACCAGGCTTTTAACATGGGTTCTGGTGATCTGAACTCAGATCCCCATGTTTGAAGGGCAGGCACTTTACCAAAGGTGCTATAATTCCAGCCTCCATTTGTATTTTATTTGTAGTACTGAGGATTGGGCCTTGAGGGTGCTAGGCAAGTGCTCTACCACTGTGCTACATCTCCAGCCCTCTGGTCTGCATTTCTGGGGAGTCACCAAGTGACTTCAGTAGTTGGAGCCCGAAGATAGATAAGATATTAGAATAAAGAGACGTAAAACGACAAGATATGGCCACAGACAACAAGACAGGCTGTGCATGTCAATGAAGGGTTTTGAGCACTGAAATAATAAATAGCTAAAGTGTTTAAATACTTAAGCAGTATAGTGAGTGGACGGAAGGGAGCACAGGTGGAGGCAGATCAGATATACAAGGCTGTTGTGATAAAGCACACACACATTAACAGTGGAGTGGAGATGCTAAGAAGGGGGACATTCAAAAAAATCTTTAACAAATAATAAGGGACTGTGCTGGATAGCTTTAATGTCAACTTGACACACCTGGGTTGAGGGAGCTTCAATTGGGGAATTGCCTCTATTGGACTGGCCTATGGCCATGTCTGAGGGGCATCTTCTTGATGAGTGAGTGATGTGGGAGGGCCCAGCCCACTGTGGGTGGTGCCACCCCTGGGCAGGTGGGCCTGTGTTGCATAAGAAAGCAGGCTGAGCAGGGGGCAGAGAGCAAGCCAGTAAGCAGCGTTCCTCCATGGCCTGTGCTCCAGCTCCTGCCTCCAGGTTCCTGTGACCCAGGATATGTAAGCTAAATAAACCGTTTCCTCCCCAAGTTGGTAGTGGTCAGAGTATTTTGTCACAGCAATGAAGAAACAAACTAGGACAGGGATACAATGGAGACAATCTAACTTCTACTTTAGCTCTCTACAGACTAAGCCACAGAACTGCACAAATATCCACCGAACAATGAGTTGACTGTGTTTCCATGTCTTACTGGTAAAAGTGAACGTAATAACAGACCAAAATGCTTATGCTGAGAGCTCTGAATCTTAACTTTGAGACTCATCTTAATTTTACAATTACTCCTTTCATGCCCAGGGAATAAAACAAGAGGATACAGCTTGGCTGTGTTTGGCTCATCTCCTCCTCTTCTTCACTGCCAAGAGTAGGCCAGTGTGTGAAGTGTCCTTTAAGGTTTATTAGAAACCTTCCCAGGTTGAAGCATGAAGCCAGTGGCTTATGTTATAGTGAAACTGAAGCCCTGCGGGTCTGTTTCTGAAAAGGCCTGGTGGGGAGCTCAAAAAATGGATGCTCCAGGTGACCTTGCAGGTCCCCTTTCTGCTTTGAGCTGTCCTTGTGTAGTGCATGCCAAAGAGAAGAGATGGTCCCTGAGGCATTGGCAGGCGGTGAGGATTTCTCATTAGCCAAGCTCTGGGCAGCTAGCTCCAGCTTCTAGGGACTGCTGAGCTCTGTACTGGATGGTGACGATAGGATTTGATCTTGTGCTACTTGATCTTGCCTTAAAAAGGAAGCTCATCTCAGTCAAATAGGGATGTTAGTTTTCATGTAGAAATTATCTTTGAATTTAATAACAAAACCACAGAATGCTCTACCTCTACAACTGCCCCACCACCACCACATAGGCACATACATCCTCCTTCTACCTCCTTTAAAATAATTTTATTACATTTGTGTGTGTGTGTGTGTGTGTGTGTGTGTGTGTGTGAACATGTCACAGTGTGAATGTGGCAGTCAGAGGACAACTTGCAGGAGCTGGTTCCTGGGGATTGAACTCAGACCTCCAGGATTGGCAGCTCTGTCCAGGGAGCCATTTTGCCAGCCCCTTGTCCTGCCCTTTTGAAGCATCTCTTAATGCTTCTTAAATAGAATTTCTCAGTTATTTCAAGTTCTTCCTGCATAACTCAGTATTCTGCTTGTTAGGTTAGCATAAATATTTTTAAGCTTCATGTAACACACACACACACACACACACACACACACACACACACACACACACACACACCCCTTTCTACTGTACCACATAGGCCTTTATATTTTAACTATTTTATCTCCATCCAACTTCTTGCCATGGTATCTACATCCATGGTCAGCTTCTGAAAAGAGCATTCCTCATTTCTTGGTGTTCCTCTGAGATGCTGGTCTCTGACATGCATCCATGATCATTCTAACACTAACTTTCCCAACTAGGCTGAGCCTTCTCTGCATTCTTTCTCTGTAGTCCTTTTCCCTGGAGAAGTAGGTCAACCCTTCCTGCAGAATGGAGAAAATGTAAGTAGACCACAGCCTAGGTAAATGACTTCCTCAGTGTCAAGCAGCAAATGGCAAAGGACCAAGAGACAAAGCCAGGTCCCTCTGTTCCCCAGACACTCTCCTGCCTTTATAATTCTCCATCTTTTCTGAATTAACACCACTGAACTTATTTTCCCCTTTATAGAAAAGCTGCAATAGGGGTCAAAGAGATGGCTCAGTGGCTAAGAGCACTAGCTGCTCTTGCAGAGGACCCAGGTTTAAGTCTTAGCACCCACGTGGCAGCTAACAACCATCCAAAACACCAGTTACAGGGGATCTGATGCCCTCTTCTGACCTCTACAGGCATTGCACAACAGGTGCAATTACATACATGCAGGCAATACACTCATATGCATAAAAATAGTAAATAAAATATTTCTTAAACTGCAGCAAAGTCATTAGGTCGTGGGAGAAAGGCTTTTATTATGTCTTTCTACCTTTCATGGACTTTCAAACTTTCAATAAAATAACTGTTGAGTCAGAGTACAGTATTACATTTACTTTTAAAATTATCAAAAATGTTCACTGTGAAACTTCAAGGGCAGAAATGTGTCAAGAAAGTGAATGTCAGGGCTGGAGACATGGCTGGCTGCTCTTGCAGAGGACCTGGATTCAGTTCCCAGTACCCATGTGGTGGCTAACAGCCACAGCTTAGCAGAAGTCAGTTCTCTCCTTTCAGCACATGGGTCCTGAGGATCAAACTCAGGCCATCAGGCTCGGCAGCAAGTGCCTTTACCCACTGGGCAATCTTGCCAGCCTAGTGTTTACTTATTTTTACCTTTTAATAGTTTGCTAATTTATTTTTTATGTGTACGAGTTTACTAATTGTAAAAGCACTTTATGGACTACTGATATAACCTTCTCATCTGTTTTACATATAAAAAGCATTTCTTCCATACTATTGTTTATTCTCTAGTTTTGCTTGTAGTTTTCTTTTTAACTGGAGATTTTTACATTAATGTGGTAATACAGCAAAAATCTCTACCTTGCCAGGCATGGTAGTACATGCCTTTAATCCCAGAATTGGGGAGGCAGAGGCAGGGGGATCTCTGTGAGTTTGGGGCCAGCCTGGTCTAATAATAAGTTGCAGGCAGATTGCACTGACAGGGAGGCCATGTCTCAAGCAAACAAACAATATTCTCTGCCTTAAAGTACATCTCATATATGTACATAATATACCTATATATCTGCATATAACTTTATACTTTTCTTTAGTAAAATTATAACTTGTTTATTTTGTTAGAATTTGAGTGGCCCAGAATTATTTTTCATGTACAACATAAAAGAGGGATGTTAACTAAGGTCTTCCAAATGTCGGACTGTAATGATTGATATGAGTAAGTTTAGTATTTGATAGGACCTGTTCTGTCTCTCATTGTTCTTTTTAGAATACATCCCTGGGAACTTCTTCATTTTCTTCATTCTTTTTGTTTTATGCACATGAGTGTATTGGATGTATGTATGTAAGTGCACCAATGTCGTGCAATGCCTGAGGAGGTCAGGAGAGGGCATCAGATCCCCTGGAACTGGAGTTGTGGACAGTTGTTAGCCACCATATGGGTTCTGGGAATCAAATCTGAGTCCTCAGGAAGAGCAGCCAGTGCTCTTAACCCTGAGCCATCTCTCTAGCCTCCTACAATACATCCCTGGAAACTTCTATACCCTTATTCTTTTAGATAAGTTTCAGAATATTATGG